AAAAAAAAAAAAAAAAAAAAAAAAAAAGGGAAAAAAAAAAAAAGGTCCTTCTTTTGAGGCTGCAAGTTACCTATAAAAAGGAAGAAGTTATCTGCAACAAGGCACAATGGGAGAATGGAATTCTGCAGAGGGGGAAAGTTTATTTATCTGTAATTTTGTTTCTCTGAAATTGTCATTCCAACAGAGATTCTGGAACACTCAACACTTAAAGAATTTTGAGCCCAGAGGGCAGCAGTAAATAGAATAGAGCATGAACAAAAAACTCCTCACTGGCCTTCATGCGCCATACTCTGCCAGGGTCAATACTCCTTAGGAGCTGAGGATTTTCCCTGGTCTCTACACTAAGGAACTAAGGCTCCAAGACTGGAGTTTTCGCAGATTGTTTCTTCAGGGAAAAGCAAGTTTTTCAGAAGCCTCAAGTAGCTGTGAAATAAACTAGCACACATGTTATATTGTTCTTGGGACCCAGCTAGATGGTAATATTTATTTATCAATCAAATAAAAGTAAAAAATGTAGCTCTTATATAGCACTAATCATCCATAGAGCTCAAAGAACTTTACAAACAGTGGTCAGGATCATTTTATAGATAGAGAAACTGAGGCGCAGAGACTGACCAATTTGCTGCTACTTTACTCAATAGGAAGGAGAAAGTTTTACATCACAAAATGGACAAGGAAAACATTACATTAATCTTCTTTCAGAACATTGTATTTATCAGAGGTATGTCATTATTGTAGTATTGGAGGGTCACAATCTTAATGTATTTATCTTCATAAAACCACTGTGAGGTAGGGAAGTGCTATTAATTCCTTATACAAATGACAAACCGAAGCAGAGAATCTTCAAGTTATTTGTCTAAGGTCACACAGGAAGTCTGTGACAGAGCGGGGAATTGAACTAGGGTTTCTCAAGTCCCAGGTTAGTGTCCCAAACACTGGACCATTCTTCCTCTAGTATAGTGGTCCCCAAACTGTGGTGGGAACGTCCGGGGCGGGGCACGGCAAGGCCTTGACCAACCCACACGCGGGGGCGGGAAGGGAGTGCCACCCACCCCTACACTTGGCCCCCATTCCCAGCCCCTGGCCGGAGGGGGGGGGGGCACATTCCATTATTGGGGTGGGGTGGGGGGGAAACAAGAGGAAAAGTTTGGGCACCACTGCTCTAATACAATGGTCACCATTTTAAAAAGTCATTTACTACAGTTTTTCCTCTATGCTGAGTTAGAAGGTAGATGGTATCCACTGGCAAATGAAGACATTTAAAATGGACTCCTATATACAAGGAAGCAGTTCTCATCTAACTATCTTTGTACAGTCTTTTTAAATCTATATTCCTACGCTGTACTCTTCTGAACGTACTATAACCACTAAATAAAACCATTCCCTGGCTTTAAGGAAAGCTCTTGGAAGAACAGATTGCATGTGTAAAAGACACACATTTACTGCAACTTAACCAAGGTTTTTTTTTGGGGGGGGGGGGGGAATCTATGACAAGCAACTAAATTTAGTCAGTCAGCTACTTTGAACTATTGATAGAAGCCTTAGTTAAGTCCATATATTTTGTAGACCATCACACAGAAGAGGAGGTTACTTACCTGTAACTGGAGGTTCTTCAAGATGTATTCCACTGAGGGTTACACATGTGCATCCTGCACCTGGAGTTGGAGAATTTGAAAGTAGTGTCCGTTGGGCTGAGCAAGCTCCCTGACTCGCCTCATGCTTCCATCCGAGGTGATAAAGAGCAGGATGGACCAACTTTGACTCCAGTTCCTTCTCCAACATAAATCTGAGAGACCCCACCCTCTTCCCCTCTGCTGCAGGGGGACCATACACACCTCGAAGAGCCTCTAGTTGAGTAATCTCTTCTTTTCGAGTGATGGTCCCTACTGTATTCCACGGAGGGTGACTGACAAGCAGTAACTAAGTTGGTGGAGGGTGGAAGGATGACAATGGAAGGGTCATGCGAAGGACCACCAAGCCAAATTAAGTATCTGCTGCTGAGTCTTGCACCAGTGCATAATATGTCAAAGGTGTGCACTGAACTCCATGTGGCTGCACTACATAGGTCTATGAGAGGCAAGTCTTGGAGGGAGGCCACAGTTGTAGCTTGAGTTTTAGTGGAGTGAGTGCATATCCCTGCAGCGGAAGGCAGGCCCAACAGATGGCACCATAGTTCGATACAATCAGAAATCCACTTGGAGATTCTCTGTGTGAAGATGGCCTGTCCTCTGAGTCTCTCAGCTTTTGTAATGAATAGTATAGGGGACTTTCTGATAAGTTTTGTTCTCCACAGGTAGAAGGCCAGCACACATCTGACATTGAGGGAATGGAGTCTACATTCTTCTATGAAGGTATGTGATTTCGGAAAGAAAACAGGTAAGTGAATAGCTTGGTTAATGTGAAAGTGGGATACTACCTTTGGTAGAAATTTAGGGGGTAGACGTAAAGAAACTTTCTTCAATACTGGGAATGATGGGTCAACCATTATAGCACTGAGTTCAGACTCTCCTTGCTGAAGTGACGGCCCCCAGGAAGGCAACTTTCATGGAAAGGAAAGACAAGGAGGAGGACACCAGTGACTCATTAAAACTGAGGGTATCAAATTCAAGACCCAGTGAGGTGCAATCATTTGGCAGGGAGGGAAGGTTCTGAAGAGGCCTTTCTGAAATCTAGCAGTTAACGGGTGTGTAAAAAACAGAGCAGTCCTCTACCAATGGATGGAATGTGCTAATCGCAGCCAAGAGGACCATCAAAGTGCTGAAGGTGAGACCCAATGACTTCAGGGATAGAATGCAGTCCAAGATTGGGGGATTTCTGCCTCTTCTGGTGGAATGCCTTTAAGTTAGGCCCAAGAGGAAAAGCGCCTCCACTTAGCTCGGTAGCATTGTCTAGTGGAGTCCTTCCTACTGTTAGAGAGAATGTCTTGTACAGATGAGGAGCATACTGATTCTAGAGTAGATGCCTATCCAAATACCATGCCCTGAGATGGAGTGCAAGTGGATTGGGGTGCTTGATTCTGCCACTGTGTTGGGTGAGGAGATCCGGGAAGTTCAGGATGGGAATCAGAGGACATGCGGAGGAGATTGGGGAACCAGAACTGCCTGGGCCAGAAGGTGGTGATAAGGATGACCATTGTCCTGTCTCGATGGATTTGAGGAGAACTCAAGGTAGGAATGACAGTAGAAGAAATGCGTAGTTGATTTGGTTTGACCGCAAGAGAAGGAGAGCATTGCACTGGGAACGACAGCTGATGCCTCCTTTGGAGCAGTATTTGGTGCATTTGCTATTGGTCTGAGAAACGAATAGGTCCCTAGTTGGGGTCCCCCATTGTTCGAAGATGTTGCATAGCCCCGTATTTTGAAGCTCCCATTCATGGTCACTCACAAAGTGCCTGCTGAGTGAGTCTGCAAGCACATTCTGTGTTCCCGGAAGGTAAGCTGCAGATAGTGTAATTTGATGCATCCGTTCCAGAACTTGACCACTTCTGTGTGGAGAGTGGGGGATCTCGCTCCCCCTTCTTTGTTGATATAGGAGTGGGAGAAAGGATTCACACATCTTTCGCACTGCTCGAAGTTCCAAGATGTTGATATGCATCCTGGACTCACAAGGGGTCCAGGAGCCTTGTGCTAAGCGGTAATCCATATGGGCTCCCCTGCCTATTAGAGACACGTTGGTGATGATAATTTTGCTTGGAGAGGAGGGAAGAAAGGGACCCCAGACATACATGATGGGGGTCTGTCCACAGTAGTAGGGATGATAGTATCTTGGCCAGAACTTTCAGCCTGAAGTCCAGAGAATGACAGCTTTTCAAGTACACAGAATGGAGCCATGTATGGAGGCAGTGAAGACGAAGTCTCGTGAAAGGGGTCGTGTAGGTGCATGAAACCATGTGGCCCATAAGAGACAGGAACATCTTGACCAATACATGTGGGTCATTCATGATGTGAGAAATGGTGTTCATTGCCTGACATGTGTCTATGAGCAGGTATTCCCATGATGTGATAGAGTTTATGGTAGCCCCTATGAAATCTAGTGACTGTGGGGGCTGAGGATTGATTTCTTGATGTTGACATTGATTTCCAGTGAAGCAAGGAGTTGAGTAACATGGAGGCTGACGCGAGGACTTCCTGGTAGGATCTGGCTGCCAGGAACCAGTTGTTGAGGTATGGAAAAAACAAAACGATCAGAACACCTGATGTGAGTTCTAACTATAGAAAATACTTTGGTAAAGACTCTGGGAGCAGTAGCTATTCCAAAAGGAAGTACTGTATTGGAAATGGCCGGTGCCCACCGTGAATCTGAAAAAAAGTGTTTGTGGGCAGGATGAATGTTGGCATGGAAGTAAGTGTCCTTCATATTGAGAGCTGTGAACCACATGCCTTTTTCTAAAGAGGGAATGATTTCTGCCAATGTGACCACATGAAACTTGAGTTTGCAGATGAAGTGATTAAACTGACGGAGGT